ACAGGCCTGTTGGTGTCGCGTGCCCATGTGTGGCGGCGGGTGGCCCTACGATGGTCCCGGGACATCCACAGTGCCTGTGGGAAGACGGTTGGGTTATTCTTGGCATCTCCGTACAGCTCAGGGAATGGAATAACCATGCATCTGGCCTTGTCTGTCATTAAAACAAACAACAAACAAAATGAGGAGGAGATCACCACCACGTCTGTAGTTAGAAGGAAATACAAGGTAATTGCTCACCCAGATTCTTTGCTCTAGTCAGTGGTCGCCAACCTTTCGGACCTCACGGACCACCATGGTCCGCGGACCACCGCTTGGCGACCGCTGCAGATGGCAAGAAGTCTGAGCTTTTGGATCCCGCTGCCTGCCATTTGAACAGAAAAGCAATAGCCAGGTTGATGGTTCCTGAAATATACTTGACCCTGGGAGGCAGAGTGTTAAGTTTTAAGAAGGGAAATGGGAAAGCAGATTTGCAAGGACTGGTGACATTCAGGTCAAGGTGGGTGGCTGCAGATGTCTCAGAGCTTGGCTGAGGCTCGAAAGTAATGAAGAAAGTCCCCCACACTAGGCATGAAGAAGGCATGAAGAGGCATGAAGAAGACATGAAGAGGCATGACAAAGGCATGATGAGGCATGAAGAAGGCATGGAGGGGCTGGCATGTGAAACCTGCCTTGGAAGGAGGAGGGCTAACCATGCTTCGACACCTGCTTCTGTCTTGGGTTTCCCTGGGGGGAGCATGGCTTGACTCTGATCAGTTCCAGAGGAGATGCTGCGTCAGGCAAGTTTGGGGGCCGTGGCTGACCACAGCCCTGACTGAGCGCAAGGGCCACGTGAGCCCACTCTGCCGCCCCTTCGCATGAGGAGTAGATGCAGCCCGGCCATGGGAGCCAGTTGTGGGAGGGGACGGGCTCATCCCCGTGTTGTGCTGAGCCAATCAGAGACTTTTCTAAGAATCGAAGATTCACAGAAACATTCTGGCTGCTGGGGGCCCTACACCTGAGCTGGGACGGTGGTCCTCTGCGCTGAGCACCCGGATGAAGGGGTTGAGAGGAGACAGGAGAGGAGTCAGTGTGTAGAGTTGCTGCTTGTGCTCTGGTTCCTGGTTCCAGTTTCCGTGAGGCCTGAACACACCCGTCTCCTGTCCTTGGATCCCCGGAGACCTCTGTATCCAGGCAGGGGCACCCCCTTTTCCCGTGAGCCTCATTGAGGGAGCTTCTCTTTCTTGCAACCAAAAGACCATGGACTAGAACAGATGCTCAGGACGCGATGATGCGACAGCTACAAGTGCAGATTTCAGCCGGGTGAGCCACTCAGCCGGCCGGGGTGGTCCTGCCGCTGGGTGTGTGTGTTTGGGTCGGGGGGCATTCAATCACTAGAGATGAAAGGACCCCCATAACCCTGTCCTCTTTCCTGTCCCCACCCACCCCCTTGGCTGCTCGCCATCTGCTGGTCCCAGCTGCTGTGGCTATTTCTAGACGAAGTCAGGAAACTGTTTTGTCTCTAGGACTCTGAGCCCAGAATCCCCTGCTCAGGAATGCCCCACAGCCCCCGCCACCTGCACACCTCCTCCCCCCCCCCCGCCCCTGTGCCCCCCTCCCCCCTCCCTCCCCCAGGGAAGCTACGGGGACACACTCACCCCCTGGGACAGTGTCTGACTGGTGGGGGGAAAGGGAGAGGGCAGCTCTCTGCAGGGGCTCCCACGTCTCTTCAACCCCAACCACTGCTCTCTCACATTCTGGGCAAAGCTCTTCACGGCTCCAGGGCCTTCCCACGTCCAGGCAAACTCAGATCAGGGTCACAGGTCTGGTGTGTGTTTGGGGATGGGAAGGTGGGGACGCAGGGGACGGAAGGGGCGGGGCAGGAGGCCCGGGCAGCCTCACCTGGTCACAGTGGTGGAAGTGGAGGTGTGGACACCAGGCTTAGGTGCCTACACTTCACGTAACCCTCAGCACAGGGCGGCAGAGTGGGCTGCTGTGGCCCTTGCCCATCAGTCAGGGCTGTGCAGCGAAGGCACCCTGAGCAGGGCTCTGTGGCTCCGTGCAGTTGGGAAAGGGCAGCCCCCAGGGCGGGAGGTGGAGCGGAGGCAGGACTCAGGCCGCCCCTGCCTGTCCCGGGGCAGCCAGGCCTCCAGCTCCCCCGTCCTGCTGAGTTGGCGCTGGCGGCGGGCAGCAGGGGTGGTGGGGACGGCTCTGCAGGGTGCTGTGGGAGGCCATTGGGACAGTGGAGGGAACACCAAGTTACCTGGACCTGCTGGAAGCGGCCGATGTCCCCCAACGGCCGCAGGGGGCCATTGCAGGCCATGGGGCAGGACCTCGCGGGAACGCCGGGCCGAGGCCTCCTGCTCCCACACACTGTCCCTTCTGTGGTGCAGGGGGAGGCGCAGGGCTGCCCCTGGGGCTCCCCCATGGGGTCCTGCGTAGCCCTGGGCCTCCTGAGGGCCCGTAGTCGTTTTTGTAACGACTCCTTAAAGGGATCCAGTTAAACAATGACTTGAGAGTAAGACATTCAAGGCGTCAGACTCCCTGGGTTAATGGTTTGTCCAGGGGCTCTAAAGGGCAGGTTGAGCTGACCGGGGGGAGGAGCCTGGGAAGGAGGGACACGCTCGATGCCCCGTGCTTGGCGTTGGCGTCCCCTCACTCGGTCAGAGCAGGCGACCCCTCCTTGGAGAAGATGGGAAGGTGCTCAGGTCAGGACAGGAGGCGCAGCTGTGTGAGCATGAAGCCTGGACCGAGTTCCCTTTTCTCAGTGACTCCGAGCCGCGCGGAGCGGGGAGAGACTGTGAGGAGGCCGCACGGAAAGGAGATGCTGGTCGCGCTCGTACCCCCATCCACTGCCCGCGTGGACCCAGAGCTGGGGCCTCCTTCCCCATGATGGTGCCCTCTACCAGCCACGCCCAGTTTCTCTCCTTCCCAGACCACAGGCAGACAGGCTTCCACGCTCTTCTTTAGGAGGCTGTGTTGGGGTCACACCATCAACAGGTCCAGGGAAACCCAGGTATTCTGACACCTTGGCCCCTGTTATGCACTGAATTCTGTCTCTCCCCTCCCCCCGGCCCCCAGTCATTTATTGAAGCCGTAACCCCCATGTGACTGTCTTGGGAGAGAGGGCCTTTAAGGAGGTTAATTAACGTTCAGGGAGGTCATAGGGTACGGTCCCAACCCAACGTGCCTGGTGTCTTTAGAAGCAGACGCCCTTTAGACACACAAGGGACATCAGAGAGGTGTGTGCTCACAGGCAAGGCCACGCGGGGACACAGTGAGGCGGCCGCCTGCAAGCCAAGGAGCGAGGCCTCAGGAGACACCAGACCTGCCGGCACCTTGACTGTGGACTTCCAGAGACTCCAGAGACGAGCTGAAGCCGCCCGTCTGTCGTGTTTTGTTACGGCTGCTCAGGTAGACTAATACAGCCCCCAAGGGTGCCACTTACACCCCTCGTGTGGCACAATTCCAGCCGAGAAGCAGGGCAGGAAGCCCGCTGGGGGGAGGTGGCTTTTGGGAAAGGCAGTCTTGCTCTTGGAAAGAGCGGTGTATGAAGAGTGACTGCCCTCGTCCGCCTGTGCTGCTGCCGCTGTGTGAGGAGGGGGTACCCGTAACCTTTGCCCTCACGGGGGTTGGGGGGGGGGGCGGTGGCTGCCCTGTTGAGGACGGAAGGGTAGCGGGTTGGAAGGAACCTAGATCCACGATGTTGGGCCTGAGTCACAGAAGCCTATACGTCCTCCTCTTTGCAACACGACCTTGTGTCTTGGTCTTAGTTCGGGCTGCCCCAACAAGAGACTGTAAGTGGGGTGACTTATCCATGACAGAAATCTATTCTCACAGTTCCGGAGGCTGCGCATCTGAGATCCTGGTGCCGGTGCGGCCAGGTTCTGCTGAGAGCCCTCTTCTGCTTACAGATGGCTAGCTTTTCATGTTTTTTTTTTTTTCTCCATTGATTTTCAGCCAGAGTGGAAAGGAGGGAGGAGGAGGGAAGAGAGAGAGAAACATTGATGCGGGAGAGACACATTGAGTGGTTGCCTCCCGCATGCACCCCAATGGGGGCCGGGGATCGAGCCAGCAACTGGGGTATGTGCCTTTGACTGGGAATCGAGCCCTCAACCCTTTGGTCTGTGGGCCGATGCTCTAACCACTGAGAACCCCCAGCCAGGGCTACTTTCTTTTTTTTAAAAGATTGGTTTGAGAGAGAGAGAAGCACCGATTTGCTGTTCCACGTATTGATGCATTCCCTGGCTGGTTCTTGGATGTGCCCTGACTGGGAATCGAACCCAAGACCTTGGTGTAAGGGGTCGTGCTCTAACCGACGGAGCAGGCCAGGGTGCTGGACGGTGTTACCTTCGGGCTGGAAGCTGGCTGATGGGGAGTGGCTGTTGCCTTTGAGATGAGACAGGCCAAGGGAGACGCTGCCCACAGAACCCTTTTAATGATGTGGTCTCGGTGGAATCTGGGAGGGGCCACCCTGAGCCACCGCCCCTGCTCCCTCCTTGTGCGGGTGGCCCAGGCCCTGCAGGATGGGTGCTCCCTGTGGGCTCTGTAGGGCCCGTTCTCCGTGCTCAGAGTCCATTCTTCTCTTGCGCCGAGGCCTGGAGCGGGACCATCTGCTTCTGCTGCTCTTGCTGCTGGCGCTGCGGTTTCCCTCTCCTCCTGGGGGGCAGGAGAGCGGTGCCCTCGGTATGCAGCCTGCAGCCAGGGCTGGGGCTCTCCGCTTAGCTGTGCCCAGCTACCAGCTCTCTGCCTCAAACACCTCCCCTCCCTGGAGACCCAGAAAGGACCCCAGGAGATAGCACACTGGGGAGACAGGGACGAAGAGCCGTGGCCTGGAAAAGGAGGCCTGGGTTTGAGCCTCAGCGCCACCCGGCCTGCGTGTGGGACCTGGCGTAGGTCCCTGCGCCTCTCTGGGCGGGAGCCCACCTGTCCTCCAAGTCTTGCACCGTGTCCGGCAGGGGATGGCCCAGTGTCTCCGGCAGGAGGGCGGCGACGGTGCTGGCGACCACGGGGACAGTGCCGTAGATGAAGAGAGGCATGGAGGGGAAGAGCTCGGCAGTCATGCTCACCAGGGGGCTCGCGATGCTGCCCACACGGGCCATGGTGCTGCCCATCCCCAGGCCTGTCTGCCTGTGGGGCCCACGGGGGGAGGGGCTGGTTAGTGTCTGGCATAAATGTGGAGGTGCTCCAGCACCCCTCGGTGCCTCCTCCATCCCCCATTTCATTAGCAACAAGCAGAAGCCGAAGTAACCGCTTGAGCTAAAGCTGACCCCCCCATTTCATTAGCAAACCAATTTGGCATTTGTTTTCGAGGTGAGAAGGAGGAGGAGGGGGAGAAGGGAGAAGGGAGAAGGGAGAAGAAGAAGAAGAAGAAGAAGGAGAAGAAGAAGTTGGGAAGGGCCCTGGCAGAAGAAGGGGAAGGGAAGGGGGAGGGGTAGGGGTAGGGGGAGGGGAAGGAGGAGGAGGAGAAGGAGAAGTGGTTGGGTCGGGTTCTGGCCTTAGAATCAGGAGATTGGTTTTGCCTCTGCCCTTAACCTGCTGTGTGACCTCGGCCAGTCCCTTCTCCTTTCTGGGCCTATGTTTCCGTGACAGTCAAATCCGACAGCCGAGTTGGGCCAACTGATCTCAGATCACCTGTGGGATTTCTGAGTTGTCCCAGCCCCACACAGACTGACCTATCAGATTAGAATCCCCAGGGGAAGGGTCTGGACTGTGCAGGTTAAGAATAGGTTAAGAACATTCTCTACGAGAGCAGAGGTTAAGCACATCGACTCAGGCGACTCACATCCAAGCTTTGTCACTTACAAGCTGTGTGACCCTGGGCAAGTCACCTAACGTCTCTGTGGCTCAGTTTTTTCATTTGTCGGGTGGGAATAATCATAGTACCTACCTGATGGGATTGTTATGAGGATTAAACGCGTTGATATTGGCAGAAGGTTTAAGACAGCGCCTGGCACATAGTAAGTGGCCTCTATGATTATTCTTTCCCCCGAAATCCCACGAGGGCTCCGTACAGTCCCAGGACCCCTCAGGGTTCCCCAAGTGGCTTCGGGGAGCCTGACGTTGCTTTGACATCTCATGTGAATTTTGCATCCCATTCTGAAAACAGACACGTGTTTCTTGCTTCTCAATTTGGAAATCCTCCCTTGGCCAAGCCTGGGCACTGGGAAAGCAGTGCTGTGTTCACCCCGACGGCTGGTGTGCGAGGTCCCACCACCAGCAAGTGCGGCTCCTGTGATGGGGAGGTGGTGGTCTTTGGCTTCAGACGGACCACCTGGCTTCTGGGTGGAATTTAGATTTGGTGTCGGATTCTAACTTGTGCTTTGAAGATCAAGGGGCGACTTCAGTTCATTGCCTTTGAGACGCATCTTCTTGGCTCCCCACCTTGTCTCAGCTGGGCCACCTTCCGAGGTCTTTGAAGGTTGGGAAGGGCTGAGCGGGTAGTCAGTCCTGTGTCAGCCAGGGACCAAGTGTGTATCCAGTGGCTGCTATGTACCTTGTGCTGGTGGGTGCTGGGAAGGACTTTTGGGCTGGGCATATGGACCATGCTCTGGGGTATGACCTGTGTATGCAGGAAATATTTTACCCCAGGATCCCCCCTCCCCCACTGGACTCCCACTCACCGGATCATTGTGGGGTACAGCTCCCCAGTGTATAGAAAGATGCAGCTGAAGGAGGCAGCCAGGCAGCCCTTGCCCAGCACAGCAAGGGAGGTTCGGACCGTGGACTGATCTAGAGAGAAAGGAGGGGTGTCAGCGGGATCTGGGGAGCGGGGGCTGGGAGGATGTGGCCTCGCTCCCTGGTGAGAAGTTGAGTCGTGTGGGGAGGAGGCCAGGGACGAAGGACCAAGGTGCTCACCCTGGGGTATCACCCCGTTGGCCAGGATGCAGATGCCCGCCAGCAGCAGGGCGGCTATCTGGGCCGGCCGCCGGCCCAGGTGGTTGATGGCCACGAAGCCCACAAACTTGGCAGGCAGGTCCACGGCTCCGAAGATGACCTGGATGAGGTAGATGCTCACCCCGAAGCCCTGCAGGTCCATGACCAGCCCGTAGTAGGCGAAGCTGGTGGCGAACCTGGCGGGGAGGGGGGAGGGGTGTGGAGTTTGTGAAGAAGGCTTCAAGGTGGGGTGCTCATTCCAAATAGGGGTGAGCTGCACCGAGTACCCTGCTCAAGGAGCTGGAATCTGCCTGGGCTCATCCTTCTTCAGACGTGAGTCTCCAGTTTAAATTTTGGGGGACTCCTGCCACACCCCAGATCATTTTTACCGGGTGGCTTTGTGGGATTCACATAGTTTCCATCTTTATCCTATGTATTGAAACTGGGCTGAGGCGGGGCACAGGCGAAGATCCAAGCCATGTCTTTAGGGCGAAGGTGTTGGGAGAGGCAGTGGCCTTCTGGGACCTGTCCATGAGGCTGGAATGGCTGCTGTTTCTTCTTAAGATGTCCAAAGCCCACACCGTGCAGCACAGGTTATTGGATAAAACACGCCACCTAGAGCAGCGGTCGCCAGCCTGTGGTCCGTGAGGTCTGAAAGGTTGGCGACCGCTGCCCTAGAGGAAATCCAGAACGGGTGACAAAGAGTTCATTGGTGGGGGTGCTCCGTTTGACAACGCCTTTGTGAACTGATGTGGGGTGTCTGGGGCGATGGGATCGGGAGGGGAGCTGTGAGAAGGGTGGTGGGGAATGTTGCAGTGGGAGCGGAAGACGCTGGCTGAAGTCGGCCGTAGCCACAAGGTGCGTTTGGAGACCAGCTGTCGGCCTCTGTGGCCTGTGCCCGTGCTTCTGGCCAAGGCCGGTACAGCCTCCCATGTTTTGCCAGCCAGACTGGTCTCTGCCCTCGCAGCAGGTCCGGTGCCCCTCCTCCCCCTGCCCGCCCCCCCCCCCCCCCCCGCATGCACTGTCTCCCTGGTCAGCGGTCAGCTGCGTGCCCCTGGGCCTGCCCGCCGGGCCTACCAGAGCACGGAGAGGCAGAGGAAGAGGCGGCGCAGGGCGGGGTGGCGCAGCAGCTCCAGGGCCGAGGCCGAGCCTGGGCCCATGGTCAACTCCTTCTGCAGACTGGACCGGAGGCCCTGCCAGGACGGGAGGGCTCAGGGCCTGGGCTCCCCAAGGAGCTCCTCCCTGCCCAGCCCCTTACTCAGGGAAGCCCTCTGGGTCCTGAGATCTGGGTTCTAGGCTTGGGGGTGGAGCCTGGGGGTCTCACCTCCATATTTAGCTTGGCCCCTTCTTCCCGCTTCCTGTTGATCTGGGCCACTCTCTGCAGGGCCTTCAGGGTGAGGTCCAGCCTCCCGGAGGAGGCGTACCAGCGGGCTGATTCGATGAAGAACCTGGCGGGGGTGGGTAGGTGTTGGCATCGCTCTAGTTCCAGGCGTCTGGGCTGGCGGGGGTGAGGTGAGCTTCCTAGGGGCCTGCGTGGGGTTCACTTAAGTCTGGGAACCCAGGGGCTTTGTCAAGGCCATCTGTCCGGGACCACAAGCTGGGGCTCGGCGAGGACTCATTGTGCGGCAGGAAGTCAGTTCTTGGGTGCTGGGGAGAGGGAGCCGCATGGGCAGGCTGGCGCCTGGAGGGGGGTGGGGGTGGGGGTGGAGGGGGGGCGGGGAGCCGGGGAAAGCTAAGACCTGGACGCTCTGGGCCAGATCCTGCCCCCACAGCCCCTTCCCTGGCTGTCAGGCTGAGGCATGGCCTGGCTTTGACCTTTTGTCTCTGACCTGCTCTGATTCTGTGGGGTGGGTGTTCGGCATGATCTGGGGGGTGTCTTGTCCCTGGCAGTCCTCTGGGCTTCGGGGGTGCCCCCGCCCCACCCTGGGCCCCACGCACCAGGAGTAGACGAAGGAGACAAAGAAGGGCACGGAGACCAGCAGCTGCAGGTAGCGCCAGTGGGGCACGGCGTAGGCCGCGCCCGCCAGGATGAACTGGCCCAGGCTGAAGACGTAGCCGGCCAGCGTGCTCACGTACGCCCGCGTGTGGATGGGCATCCACTCCATGTCTGGAAAGAGGGTTAGAGCAGCGTGTGTCACTTCCCGACTGCCAGGGGGCGGGGCCTGGGCAGGCAGGACCCTCTGCAGGCACACCTCGGTCTGGCCCCGGCTCAGGGAAGATGCGTCAGAGGAGGGCGGGTGCCGTGCGGGGGAGGGGGGAGACCAGTGGAGGTAGGGGTGGGGGTGGGGGTCCCCAGGAATTGTCCCCTCCTCTCCTCTGCTGGGCGATGGCTCCGCCCTGCGCTACAGTCCTGGCTGGGGCCTCCTTTCCCTCAGGGGGTGCCTGACCACTCAGTGCAGCCTCAGCAGCAGCGGCTCCCCTGGTTCTGCCAGCCTGGCCGGACCTCAGCCTCGGTGGCCAGAGCTGGGAGGAGCCGAGGCTTCCCTCTGCCCTGGGGAGCGGGTGGGAGTGAGGGCAGCCCTGGGTGATGGAAGGCCCCGCCCTTTGCTGGGCTTGGGGGCTGCCCTCTCCAGGTGTCCTGCCCCAGCCCTAGCCGAGTCCTGGCTAATTCCTTCCGTTCAGAGAACCCTAAACCCTTAGATTCCCTTCTGGGCTGGAGGGGCGACCTCGGGTAAGTCCCCTCCCTCCTCCCTGGCCTCAGGCTCCTCCTCTGGGAACCACGGGATGGGAGACAGGGCTATGGCCGGCCACACTCAGTCCATAAATGTCTGTTCTACATGAGGCCACCTCGCCCTGTCAATAATACTGGGATGAGTTGCCACATTGGGAAATTGGGATATTTTACATAATAAAAGGGGGTGGGGAGGCCTGTGTGTGTGGGGAGGACACCCCCGGGCTGGGGCCCTCTGGATGGTGTGACTCCTCTGGGTACAGTCCTCCCGGCTCCCTGAGGCCTCCTGCGTCTGGTCTGCTGCAGTCATCACGGGGCGGGACGGGGCGGGACCTGCCGGTGCCTAACAATGGCGTTCGCAAGCCCATGTCTGAATGGGGGGTCAGGATGGTGGGAGCCCCCGCACCCCAGAGGCTATGATGCTGTCTGGAGGGCAGACGCAGAGGCCAAGGCAGGCAGAGCTCAGGAAGGTGGGCTGGGAGGGGGCTGAGTGGCGAGAGGAGCGGGGGTAGGGACCCCGTCTTCCCAGCAGCCCTCACTCAGCGTCATGCTGTTGAGGATGATGCCAGATGTTGACATGCCCGAGAGCAGCCGGAAGGCACAGTAGACAGGGAAGCTGGGAGCGAAGGCTGTGCAGGTCCCCGACGCGGCCATCTGCAGGTGGCTCAGGATCAGCACTTTCCGGCGGCCCAGCCTGCGGGGAGGGAGGCCCTGCACCAGGGTCCTGAGGACCAAGGCGCGGGGCTGGGCAGGGACAGGAGTGCGGGGCCCGGAGGTCCTGTGGGGAGAATGCCAGCCTCCCACGAGGGCCCTCCGCCCAGCCCAGGGGCCCCGGTCCCAGCCCCGCCCTTGGGCCCTGCCCAGGACTGACCTGTCTGCCAGGTGTCCGAACACGATGGCTCCCAGAAGCACCCCCACCATGTACAGGGACTGAGCCAGCTGGCGCAAGGCCCTGTGCGAGCACACGAGGTCCCACTGGGGGAGGGGGAGAGGGGACAAGGGTCAGCACCTGCTCGGCTGGCCCTCCGAGGCCCGGCCCTCTCCCCTGACACTGCTCTTCACTGTGGTCTCCCGGGTCCCAGGAGCCGGCAGACTCATCTGGACCCCCAGTCCACCTTTTTCCCGCCCCCCCCCCCCAATCTGGAACGCCTTTCTCTGTCTTCCATTGCGGCCCCTGGCTGATGTGCGTGTGTGTGTGTTCCGTCTGCCCATCTGTCTGTCCCAGAGGGGAAGGCACAGTCTGGATGGTGCGTGGAGGGCCCCGCAGCCTCACCTCAGTCACGATGGTGGAAGGGAAGGTGCTGTTGTCGTAGATCCAGCCATTGGTGCAGGGCTCCGTGGCCTCCGTGCCGTTGGCCTCCGTGCCGTTGGGAAAGGGCAGCCCCCTTTGCGGGGAGGTGAAGCGGAGGCAGGACTCGGGCCGCCCCTGCCCGTCCCGGGGCAGCCAGGCCTCCAGCTCCCCGTCCCGGCTGAGGTTGGCGCTGGCGGGCGGGCGGCAGTGGTGGGGGGGGACGGCGGCGGTGAAGTTCTGCAGGGTGTTGTGGGAGGCCATCAGGAGCATGGGCAGGATGATGAGAGTGACCTGGGCCTTCTGGAAGCGGCCGATGCCCCCCAGCTGCCTCAGGAGGTCATTGAAGGCCATGGGGCCAGGCCCGGCCGGGTGGCTCGGGGCTGAGGACTTCCCGGCCCAGGATCCCCGTCTGTGTGTCCGTCCGCCTGCTGTCCTTCACCGGACGATGGGGCTGCCGAGGCTCCTGCAGCTGGGCTGCTCCTGGAGCTGAATCTGAGCTGGCCCCGTGGGGGGGACGCAGGCTGGTCAGCGCCCCTCCTTCCTTCTCTCTCTCCAGGCCGCCTGCCCCTCCCGTTCCCTCGCAGCCTCTTCTCACTTGGTGGGGGCTCAGCTTTTGGGGCAGCTGTGGCCCGGACCCCTCCACGGGCAGTATTTAATCCTTGGCCGGAGGGAAGCAGTTAAAGTGTGACTAAGTATCAGAAGGATTAATTAACCCTCCCAGCATCCTGGTGCCGTGGAATTCCTCCAAGTGGGTGTAAAGGGCAGGAGAGGGGGGACTGAGGTGGGGATGGTGGGAGGGGACGGACTTCGAGGGCCCATCTGGGCATCTGGGGGCAGGAGGGGACAGGCCAGGACCCTTTCGTCTTCCTTTCAGGGAGAAGACTGGGTTCTGAGGAGTGTGGTGGCCTCTTGAGGGGCGTCTGTCGTTTTTAGTGGATACGACCCGGTCTGTCCGTGGGGAGGGTTGGCAGCGTGCAGGACGCCCAGTTCACTTGAATATCAGATCAACAAATCAATCTATCTATCTATCTATCTATCTATCTATCTATCTATCTATCTATCATCTATTTTTTTTCACTGTAAGTATGTCCTTAAAATCACATAGGACATACTTATACTACAAATGTATTCATTGCCCAGCCAGCCTGGCTCAGTGGTTGAACGTCAACCTGTGAACCAGAAGGTCATGGTTCGATTCCCGGTCAGGGCACACGCCCGGGGTTGTGGGCTCCATGCCCAGTGGGGGGCGTACAGGAGGCAGCAGATCCATGATTCTCTCTCATCATTGATGTTTCTCTCTCTCTCTCTCCCTCCCTCTCCATTCCTCTCTGAAATCAATAAAAAAAAATATTAAAAAAAAGTGTTCATTGATCTGAAATTCAAATTTCACTGGGCATCCTGCCTTCTCATTTGCTAAAATTGGCAACCCTGGCCTTTGGTCTTCCGGGGCCAGCCCCCGTCTCCTAGGACCACAGCTTTTCCAACTGAAGAGGAAGTAGTGGGGCCCAAGACCAGCATCGTGCGTGACGTAGATCGACTCTTCCGGTGCCTCGGCGTTAACCGTCTAGTTTACCGGGATTCAAATCCCCCCACTTTTGTTGTGATGAGCATGAACGTATTTTTAGTCCCAATTCTAAGACACTCACTTGATTTCCTCCAACACTTGGCTCCTGAGTTCTGGTCACTCACGCTGGGCAGCGCCGAGCTGTGATTGGTTGGGTCGTGGGTTGGGTATCCCAAGAGAGCAGGTTGCAGCGTCTCGCTTTTAGTCCGACTACGACAGAGAACATGGACTCTGGAGGCAGCCCAGTTGGATCCACATCCTCACTCCACATCCTCTGGCTGTGCAGCTGGGCGAGTTGTCACACTCCTCTGATCCCAGCGTTCTTGGTTGCAAGGTGGAGCGAGCAGCCGTGCGGCCTCTGGGGCTGTTGGAGGGTTACCTGAGCCAGTCCAGGTACAGATCTTACAGCAGCTCCTGCCCAGAGGTCGGCGAGGATGAGCTGTACTTATCACTTATATCTGGTTTAAAAAATAAGACTTTCACGTTGATTTTAGAGAGGAAATATGCACCTCTTATCCTAAGAACAGCGATCCCCACACAACCAAGAATTGTCTGGACCTGAGACGTGAACAGTAAAGTGGAGAAACCCCAACCTAGAGGATGTCTTGGACGTAGGTTGCGTCGCGATCCAGCCCGTACCTGCTTGGCTGGAGATTTCTAGTCACACGGATGACTCCCGCCCACGCAATGCTGAGGTTGCCCATGGCTCGGCTGATGGGAAAACTGTTTGCGAGGCGAGGACGGGGGCTCCTCCGCCACCTTTTGCTTGAGTGAAGCCAAGCGGCCTGGGCTCCCCAATGCAGCAGCTCCTCCCTGCCCAGGCCTAACCTGGAGGGGCCGAGCGGGACCCCAATCTTCCTGGGCCCAGGCCGAGTTCTTCTCCGCCACCTTCTGCCCCCATTGTCAGGCTGGGGCCCCCGCTTGCCCTTGATGGGGCGTTTCCGTGTGGGGTCTCTGGCTGTCCCTCGCTCACCTGGTTCCGACTCACTGGCCCGCCACCCGTCTGCATCAGGTGCGCTGGCGGATGTCTGGACACGATGGAGGGTTCGGGTTCCATGGTTTTGCAGGAGGCGCCCAGGCCCTGAACAGATGAGCCGATGCAAAGGGCCACGAAGGGAAGAAGAATGTCTCGCTTCGTCTGGGCACACACCTCCACCTTGCTGTCAAGAAGAAGCAGTTTGCTTTGCAGCTTCTCCCGTAAGGAGTCCAGGTGCCCTGTTATCATCGTGCGGTTGACACAAACGGCACCTTTGGGTGGTGAGAGGGTGTTTATTGTCTTATTCCGTCTAACTTCAAGGCCAGGTTCTTAGAGGCGTGGACGGCCCAGCTGCAGGTCGTGGAGATGACCGGCCTCACGTGTCCAGAAGAGAAGAGGCCAGGCCCAGAGAGAGACGTGACTCGGCCCAGCCGCCCTCCTCCCACCGGTGCTGGTTCTGGGCTGGGACGCAGCGGGTGTCCAGATGCCTGACCACGCTCTCCAGGCCAAGGCACACAAACAAGAGCCCGTGGCCTGGGGGTGTGAGGACAGCTGCACAAACAGACGGGGGGCTCCGGGGCCAGCCTCCTGCCAGAGCCTGGTGCCCGCATGGGGGAGGGGGCAGTGCTGAGGGCAGTGGGGGAGACGGCGGGTCCCTCCAAGAGCCCTCCCTCTCTGAGCCTGAGCCCAGTGCCGCCTTGGAGAAGAGCTCCCGCCCTCCTTCCTGACCAGCGTCCGGCCAGGTGTAGTCTGGAAAAAGCGCAAGTGGCGACTCCAGGGCCTGGACTGTGGCTGGCTCCTGGGACCTCTTGGGTAACGGGGGGACTCCCCACAGCCTCCCAGCTCGTGGAGAGTTTTTAGATGGAAATGGCCACGGGGGGAATGCTTTGCAGAGCAGGGACAAAGGGACCCAACAGGGACTTCCGAGGGGCCGAGAGCCCAGAACCACATGCTGGCAGAGATGAGTGCCGCCCGCAGGTGCCAACACCTCACGGTGCAGGTACCGGGAGGGAGGCTCAGAGTCGACAAGGGGTGTGCCCGGCACCACACGGCGAGCGGCTCTAGGCCTGCGTTCTCTTAACCCCATTGCTCTCTCCACCACGCGGGCAGCTATTCCAGACCCCTGATTTTCGGAGACATCTGGATTTTGTCTAATCTATTCTGTTAAACAAGTGGGATTTAAGGAGTGCGACTCCATGTGATTTTGGTTATCTTAGGACACCTTTCAGTTAAATAACTTACAGAGCAAAGAAAACAGTCTTGCTCCTTGCTTATCACGGGGCCTAAGTGTGAGTTTGAAGACCATCGGCCGGGAGAGAAGCCTGCCAGGCCCATAGCAACGCTGTGAGCAAGGAGCCGCTGTGAGCTTTATGCCTGTGGCCTGGCTCCCCGGCCCGTGGACGGTGCCGGAACGGAAGACTGCCGATTGGAGGCTGGACATGAGGCCAGTAACCAACGAGGCGGCTCAGTACGAGGACTCTGCCCAAGAGAGGGGCGCTTAGTAAAGGGCAATTCACTGGGCCGTTTGGAAGCCCAGCTCAGGGGCAGGGAGTGGGGAGGTGGGGAGGCGGGGAGCAGCTGGGCTGGGGAGAGGATGATGGGGTCCGGAATAGGGCTCTGGGAACAGGAAGAAGAATGAGTGAGTCACGTGAAGGGTCAGAGCATCCTGACGGGCACCTCAGCTCACCTGGAGTCCTGATCATGTGACTGGGAAGTGCTTTCCTGGGCGTCTTCCCTTCCCTCCCTGTGTCTGCAGTATTTACTGCAGCAGCCCGGAATGGTCATGGCCAGGACTTCCTGGGAGCCCCCCCCCGCCCCCCCGCCCGAGTCCTGCATGGCTGGAAGGTGGAGGTGGTGTGAGGTGGCGAGTGTTCCTCGCTGAGCCCATTCCTCTTCCTCCACATCGAGACCTGGGAAAGCTCAGGGGAGGCCTTGGTGGCCCCATTGTCAGCTGACACTAAGCCAAGGCTGTGGGATGGGATGGGGGGAAGTCAGTGCGGGCATGTGTGAAGGGCAGGGCTAAGAGAAGGTTGGTGCAGTCCAGGGGCCGAAAGAACGAGGCTGGATTTAGGGTGCAAGGTCAAGGGGTAAAGCAGGCTGAGGCCTGGTCATGACAGGCCTCGTAACAGCATTTACACTTCACCCCGATGGGAAGCCACAGAAAGGTCGACGTGAGGGTGCACTATGATCTCTTTCCTGTTTCTTAGGCTCGGCCTCAAATATTTAAATATTGATGTGAGAGTAATTAGCTCTGTGGCCGATCAACACAGCCCTGGAGTGTCTGGGTTGTCCAATATGGCAGCCACTGGCTACTGCCAAGGGCCGAGCTGAGCGAGTCTGACATGAGATGTGCCTCATGATAACATACACGCCAGATTTTGAAGACTCAGTTGAATTGAAAGCTATAAGATATCTCATTGATAACTTCACATTGATTACATATAGAAAGGGTAACATATGAATATACTGGGCTAAATGCAATGTGTTATGGCAGTGGTTCTCAACCTTCTGGCCCTTTAAATACAGTTCCTCATGTTGTGACCCAACCATAAAATTATTTTTGTTGCTACTTCATAACTGTAATGTTGGTACTGTTATGAATCGTCATGTAAATATCTGATATGCAGTATGGTGTTAGGCGACCCCTGTGAAAGGGTCGTTCGACCGCTAAAGGGGGTCGCGACCCACAGGTTGAGAACCACTGTTTATGGTGATGTCTGATATACTATTATTAAAATCAATTTCACTTTTTCTAACTTTAGAAAAGCCGCTACTAGGAATTTTCAACTTACATTGGTGGCTTGCGTTATATTTCCACAGCCAGTGCCAGAGAGTTAGAGGAGGGCCCCAGGAGAGATGACGGAGGGAGAGGACCTGCTTGTTACAGGAATGGAAACCCTCGAGTCTAACTTTAACAAAAAGTGCTGGAAGCCGGTCCATCCTTGCTGCTTGACACAGTCGCTGCATGAAAGAAACATCTGCACAGCATATGTTTCAAGGGACCTGGCGTATATAGCATACTGTTCTTAATATGTTTGCTCCCCTTAGCGCTGTGTGTTTTAACCAAGGTCACCTCTCCGAGAAAGGTTGTTTCCCCAGGTAGGGATTTTCCCCTGAAGTCAGGGAGGGGATAAAACTCCTTAACTAAGTGCTAGGTGGGTAGTTAATCACTTTAACTACAAACAATCACGCTTAAGCTACATAATCTTTACTCCCTGGAATGGAGATAAGAAACGCCCTAACCTTTGCAATAGAAATTGACAGGATCAAAATCAACTGGTATAAATACAGATGTAACAAGACAATAAACACCAGAACTTCACTGGAGATCCAGACCAGAACTTGGCTGGAGATCCTGGCTAGAGATCCTGGCTAGGCTGCTGATCAACTGAACGCTGTCTCCATGTCATTCCTTCTTCGCCGACTCCATCCACACCTTTGGGGACCCCTGGACCTGCTGGGGTTGGACCCCAGCAAAAAAGGGGGATTTACTCGGCGAATCCAGGGATATCTGCTAGAACCCAGGCCCAGAAAGTGCATCCAGGGCTGATCCCTGGCACCTACCTGGCACCAAGAGGAATCAGTGCAAATAGACTGCTGGTTGTCCCTCGGGGCCCAGGCAGGCTCTTGTCCTCCTCCCTGTGCACATGCCCTCTCCTTTCTCTGCACCTGCTCCACCTGCTCCACCTGCACCTGGACCAGCCCGGCTTCACACTAACAAGCCTTCCCAAGACCAGGACCAAAGGACGGACTAGAACAGGGGTGGGCAACCCCGGCACGCGTGCCAAACATGGCACGCCAGTAACTTTTGCTGGCATGCGAAACCCTCTCTTATAATCTTCCATTTACAATTTTTTTCTTAATATTGACTTTTTTATTTTTCAGATAAATTCAGTGTAGGTGCATCTTAGATAAATAAATAATTTTACATAACAAGTTATCTTAAAGACCATAGACATGGCTGACTTTGAAATGCAGTTGATTGAATTTCAGAGTAGCTCAATTTGGAAGCAGAAATTTGTTGACCTTAGAGTTGACTTGGAAAACATTGAAAAAAATGATTAGTGACAGGAGTACCAGAGAGAAGTGTCAAAAAGGAACTATTGAGGACTTGGAATGCCATTCCAGAAATTTTTTCTGTTTAAAAAACTTTGCAGCAGTGTTACTCTCCATGTTTTCATCCACATACGCTGTGAATCTTTGTTCTCAGTGATGAATTTTGTTAAGTCTCTTAATAGGAGTAGCCTGACGGATGAAAATAGTAGCTCGTGCATATCTTTGAAGGTCACGAAATATAAACCTGATGTAAAATCTCTGTCATCAGTGATGCAGCAGCAAAAGTCCCACTGATAATATCAAACGGAGTCATAAAGTTTTCTGTCGGACTATCAGTGTACATGTATACATTAAAAAATAAATATAGGAGAAAACCAAGATGGTGGCATAGGTAAATACCCGAGATTGCTGCCTCACACAACCACTTCAAAACTACAACTAAAAGACGGAATGGACATCATCCAGAACCACAGGAAGGCTGGCTGAGGGGAAATTCTACAACTAGAAGGAAAGAGAAAAGCATACCGAGACTCAGAGGAGGCGCAGTGCTGAAGTAAAATACTCAGGTGCGGAGGTGCGTGTGGAGCAGGCTGGCGGCTGAGGGCACGATTGTCTGTTTCAATTGGGAGGGAGTCTCAGGCTCTGGGCTCCAGTTCCGGGTCAGTCTCTGGGGACCCAGACTCAAACGGGAGAAGAGGGACTGTCTGGCATCAGTCGGAACTCGAGGGAAGCTTTCTCTCCGAGGGGCTTGCAGCAATTACCGGGACACTGAGAGGCAGAGCCTCTGGGGACGGGACTGAGAGCAGCCATAACTGCTCGCTCCGCCCGCCCTGTTGATCCCCTGGGACCCGCCCCGCCCAAGCCTTGCACGGAGGCATTTGCAGGATAGCCTCAGGCAGAGGCTAGATTAGCACCGTCCTAGAGATCCAGGACAGAAGTTCTCCCACTGAAGACACAGCTGATTCTCACAGCCAATTGGCCTGGAGGTCAAATCCCTCCCAGTGTTACCTACAACAATCAAGGCTTAGCTACAACAAGACTGTGCACAAAGACTACAAGGGGGTGCACCAAGAGTGTCTACCTCAGGTAATTGGGACACTTAGCAGAGAAGGCCACTCTATTGACACAGCGAAGCATAAAAAATGCCGAGACAAAGAAACAGGACACAAATGACAGAAATGGAGGAAAGCAGGCTGCTGGATATAGAATTCAAAACCACACTTTCGAGGTCTTTCAAGCATCTTCTAGAGACCGCCGATAAACTTAATGAGATCTACAAGAAATCTAATGAGACCCCGGATGTTGTGATAAAGAACCAACTAGAAATTAAGCATACACTGACCGAAATAAAGAATATTATACAGACTCCCAACAGCAGATGAGAGGATCGCAAGATTCAAGTCAAAGATGTGAAATACGAAGAAGCAAAAAACACCCAACCAGAAAAGCAAAATGAAAAAAGAATCCGAAAATACGAAGAGTGTAAGGAGCCTCTGGGACAGCTTCAAGCGTACCAACATCAGAATTATAGGGGTGCCAGAAGATGAGAGAGAGCAAGATATTGAAAACCTATTTGAAGAAATAATGACAGGAAACTTCCCCTACCTGGTCAAAGAAATAGACTTACAAGTCCAGGAAGCGCAGAGAACCCCAAACAAAAGGAATCCGAAGAGGACCACACCAAGACACATCATAATTAAAATGCCAAGAGCAAAAGACAAAGATAGAATCTTAAAAGCAGCAAGAGAAAGAAACTCAGATACCTACAAGGGAGTACCCATACGACTGTCAGCTGATTTCTCAACAGAAACTTTGCAGGCCAGAAGGGAGTGGCAAGAAATATTCAAAGTGATGAATACCAAGAACCTACAACCAAGATTACTTAATCCAGCAAAGCTATCATTCAGAATTGAAGGTCAGATAAAGAGCTTCACAGATAAGGAAAAGCTAAAGGAGTTCATCACCACCAAACCAGTATTATATGAAATGCTGAAAGGTATCCTTTAAGCAGAGGAAGAAGAAGAAAAAGGTAAAGATACAAATCATGAACAACAAATACGCATCTATCAACAAGTGAATCTAAGAATCAAGTGAATAAATAATCTGATGAACAGAATGAACTGGTGATTATAATAGAATCAGGGACATAGAAAGGGAATGGACTGACTATTCTTGGGGGGGAAAGGGGTGTGGGGGATGCGGGAAGAGACTGGACAAAAATCGTGCACCTATGGATGAGGACAGTGGGTGGGAAGTGAGGGCGGAGGGTGGGATAGGAACTGGGAGGAGGGGAGTTATGGGGGGAAAAAAGAGGAACAAATGTAATAATCGAAACAATAAAGATTTAATTTAAAAAAATGCATTTTTCATCATCATATACTGTGTTTTTGTCGTTCGAATGAATTTTATTATTTCTTCAAGGTTCCTCACATACGTACACCTTAAGAGATATCAAGTAGGCGTAACATGTTCTCAAAAAATTAGGGTTGGCACGCAGAAGACTTTTGAGTCAGAGATTTTGCTGGTTTTCGCACGCACTCACAAAAAGGTTGCCCACCCCTGGACTAGAAGCTCCACGCTCAGATCCGGGCCCAGGAGGGAGCAGGGGATTAAGGAGATTCGGGTCAGCAGTGGTCTCGGACCATCAGAGGTGTAGGGTCATGTAACTGTTTAGTTAGCAGATTCTGGGGTCCTAGACTGTGCCACGCTCAGCGCGGCCAGGGGTGAACCTGGGGGTGGGGGTCGGTGAAGGATTAAAGAAGACAGACAAGAGAATGAAGCTGGGGCTAGGTGGGATGCTGCTCTCAGATGGAGAGACAGTGCTACGGCCTGCAAACCGAGTCTTTATTTTATAGCCAGTTTCCACGAGGCAAAGTAAGGGCGTGGTCAAGATGTTTTTACAATATTCTCGCGGGTTTCCAATCTACTCAATCACATGCCCCTGAACTCTATCAAGCTTTGTTTTGGCAGCACTTGCTGCACCTCCCGCAGCCCACATCTCTCAACCACCTGGGACCACGGGTTCTGACCATCAGGTCAAGCTCACATACAACCACAGCCTTTGGCTATAATTGTGCTGGGACTTGCACGTGGCTTTGCCACGAGAGGACCGTGCCCTCTCATTAGTCTGAGGCTTGAACCTGTCCAAACGCTGTGGCCGCTCTCCACACGAGACCTTTGAGGAGACCCCACAGGAGACAGAAGGAGCAGCCAGAGTGTGGGAGGGAGCTGGGAAGGCGTGGCCAACAGAACCAAATCTGCCGAGAGTCCAAGTGAGAAGGAGGGACGAGAAGTGACCTTCGGACTAAGTGCCCTTGGGGTTTCAGGGAAGGGGTGGGAGCAGAGTGCAGTACCGACAGGCCTGAGGGGAGTGGAGGCAGACAGCTCCTCCAGAAAGCCTGGCTGCGCACAGGGGAGGAGACAGTGTGGTCTCTGGAAGGAGATGCGGGCGGGAGGGTGCCTTTGCTTGTTTGGTTTAAGATAGCAGAGGCTTGAGCTCAACTGGTGATGGGAGGAGCCAGGCGGGAGGGGGTGGGCGGGACCCAGGGGGAGGGCTGGACACAGGGCCCCAGGGAGGACGGGACTGGTAAGGGACAGGACGGGGGCGGACACGGCAGCAGACATGGAAGGGGGCAACTCTGGCTGAAGATTTCACAGCTGCCTGGTGGGCGTGGGGCTGGGGCCTGGACCAGAGCCGTGGGGCGAGCAGGGCAGGAAGATCTGCCTGCAGCCCTCTGGTTCGTCCTGCCATCTGCTCACACGCGCTGTGGGGCGTGTGGATACACACGTGCTACCCCACGCACAGGACTGGCTCTGAGCGGCACAGTGTCCCTGCCCAGACTCACAGGGTGAGGCCCGCACTTCCAATGCGATGGTGATTGGAGCCGGGGCCCTTGGGGGATCATTAGGGTTAGATGAGGCCCTGGGGGGGAGGGGGAGCTCATGATGAGGTTAGTGTCCTTGTAGAAGAGACCCCAGAAAACATGCCTCCTCGCCCCTCCTCCACGTGAGGATGCAGTCAGAAGGTGGCTGGCTGCAAGCCAGGAAGAGAACCTGACCGGGAAGGAACCGTGTCTGCCGGCTCCTTGATCCTGGACTTCCCAGCTTCCGGAACCTCACGAGAGAAATGCCTGTGCCTTAAGGGACCCGGTCTGTGGCGAGTTGTTACAGTAGCTTGAGCAGACTGATATGTAAGGCTTGGAGTGTGCATGCCTCGGCGTACTGACACGTGTCTGCATGTGTGCACGTCAGCCCAGCTCACGTGTGCCCGTGTGCCCGTGCTTCCACGTACATGCAAGTACAGACGATGGATGTGCAGCTCACGCGTCCGTACGTGGCCGCCCCCGTCTCCTTCCCCTTCCTGAGCGGCAGTTTTTCTTTGGCGTTTATTGGAACTTCCCCTTCAAGGCGGGTGGAGGGCGAGAAGGGGAGGGAGGCCGCCCTTGTTGGGATGGAGCCAGGGGCCCAGGGCCTTCAGGGGAAGGGCGCTGGCACAGTGCGGGAGAGTGGCAGTGGGGAGGGGTAGGCAGAAGAATGGTAGGGCCTGGGCTGCAGGGAGGGCGAGGCAAGGCGGACGGGCAGGCTGGGGGTCGCATCTTTGCCCTGGTCGGGGCTGGGCTGGGAGATGAGGTGGTGGAGGTACTGTCCCCAAGCTCTCAGGGGACTTGTTCTAAGAGCAGGGACCCGCCCAGGCCCCCAAGATGCCTGTGGAGCCCCGAGGCAGGCAGGGACCTGGCTGGGCCGAGGCTCTGGAGGCGGGGAAAGGGGGTTCTGTTGCCCTCAGCTGGGGCCCAGGTTCGGTCCGCAAGGCTGCAGGGGGATCCTCTGGGAGTCTTTTTCGGCTTCCGGCTCCGGCTTGGGCTCCTTTGCCAGTGGAGACCTAGGGGAGAGAGCTCAGGGGAAGCCCTGGGCTGGACCGGCTTCCCCGGGAGGAACCCTGTGAGGCCAGGGCGGGGACTGACCGTTTCTCCACGTCCTCGATGGTCTCCGGCAGGGCCTGATGGAGGGTCTCCGGCAGGAAGAGGGAAGCACCGCCTCCCAGGAGGGCGGTGGCTCCGAAAATGAGATTGGGGACGAAGGGGTGCAGCTCCCCCGTGATTCTCACCAGCGGGGCCGTCATGCTCCCCACGCGGGTCAGCATGTTGCTCACACCCATGCCTGTTTGCCTGGGGGAGTTCAGAGCAGGGATGGGCAGCCTGTGCGTGGGGTTCTGAGAGGACAGCGAAAGGACAGCTCCGGGGCCCCGGGCAGGGGGCGGGAGGAGCCACCATCCCACCGGGCCCCGATCCTGTGGCTGCACCGCCAGCCTCCGGCCCAGCACCTACCGGATGACCGTGGGGTACAGCTCGCTGGTGTAGAGGAAGAGGCAGCTGAAGGAGCTGGACAGGCACCCCTTCCCGAACACAGCCAGCACTGTCCTCAGGGCCTGCAGGTCTGTGGAGGGGAGAACACGGGCGGCCTTGGGCTCAGGAGCTCCTGCGTGCTCTCCTTCCTCCGCAGAACTCGCCTCCCTTTTTGCCTTGGCTGCCAGGAAGCTCAGTTCCAAACGGAAAGCTGAGTAACAGCCACTCTGCTGTTCCCAGGACTTGGCGGGTGTGTGTCCTGCTGTATTCCTGTCTTTCCCCAGCTCCGATGCCCTATTCTCATTTACATTTTGTTGCACATGTTCTTGTCCTAAAATATCTCAAGTTCCGTTGGAAGGATCTAGGTGCATCAACACAAACTCCCATAAAAAATGAAAGCAACTTTTCCAAGGTCATGGTGAGGGGGGGTTGTGGGGTCTTCCATGAGCCCTGGCCTGTTGTGTCTCCATCCCAGCGTGTTTTCTCCAGCGATGCCCAACCCTCGAAAAATCCTGCGCGCTGTCCGGAGGCAGATCTGGAAAGGACTCTGACATCTCCTAGCCCAGTGGTTGGCAAACTCATTAGTCAACAGAGCCAAATATCAACGATTGAAATTTCTCTTGAGAGCCAAATTTTTTAAACTTGAACTATATAGGTAGGTACATTGTTATTAACTTAATTAGGGTCCTCCTAAGCCGGCCTTTGCTAAAAACCTCCTCCATCTGATTGAGGTACGTTCGCTGAGGTCGACCCCTTCCAACTCTCCCATCCACACCCGTCTCGTATACTCGTTTCGTCCATCTCCTTTCCAAAAACCGACTTCTGCGCATGGGCCACGAAGTTTCAATCGCACTGTACGTGCGCGCCCGCACGTGGTATTTTGTGGAAGAGCCACACTCAAGGGGCCCAAGAGCTGAATGTGGCTCGCGAGCTGCGGTTTGCCGACTACTGGCCTAGCCCAACTGAGTTATTTTCTACTAGTAGGTGCGAGACCTGAGCCCCAGCGAGCACAGGGACCTACTCAAGGTAACACAGTGACTTAGAGCCAGAAGCAGCAGAACTGGAGCGCCTGCCCCCCCTCCCCTGCCCCCCAGCCCGAGGCAGCCTGCGGCGCCCGCGGACACACGGGCCTGATGGGCCAGCCTCTTCCAGAAGGGGCTCCGGGGAGCCGCCAGCTTCTCACCCGAGGGCACGAAGATGAGGGCCAGGATCGACGCCCCTGCCAGGAGCAGGGCGATGACCTCCGTGGTGTGCCGGCCCAGGTAGCTCATGGAGAGGATGGTGATGAACTTGGCTGGGATGTCCACCCCCCCAAAGATGACCTGGAGGAGGTAGAGGTTGACTCCGAAATCTTCCACACCCATTGCCAAACTGTAGTAGGCGAACCCAGTGGAAAACCTGAGGGCAGGGAGGCACCGGTCAGCGCCGATGGCCCGCAGGCTGGGCCTCGCCCCACACTGGCCCCTGCATCACCAGGACGACGAATAGTCTCATTTTCGTCCTCCACAGCCGATGGGTAGGGGCTGCCACACGGGAGGGGCTGTTCCAATGCCGTCCTGAGGTCTCTGAGGCTGTGTCTGCGGTCAGTGGGCCAGTGCTGGGATCGACTGGTTATGCCTAACACGGGCACGGTCTAGGATGGGGTGGCACAGATGCCACATAGCTGGCTCCAGGGAAGGTCAGGGCTGGAGGACGCGGGGGCCACAGGAGGCAGGGGATGGAGATAGTTTAACCTCCGGAGCAGCGGAGGCGAGAGCTGAGCTGTGTGCATGGTCAGGTGCCGCCCCTTCCCTTCCCAGGAGTGGGGGTGGCTTCTGAGGGGCTTCTGGACCCGTGGAGCCCTATTTGGCGATGGCGGGGATGGAGGAGGCTCGAGAACCAGGGCACAGGGAGGGCTTGGAAGGGGCCGTGGAGTGCCCGGCAGGAGACTCGGGAGAAACCCAGTGTCTGTCCTCAAGTCCGAACCCCCAGGGCCAGCCTTGCTCTGTGGGGTCTCAGGACAGACCAGACCAGTGTGTGTGTGTGTGTGTGTGTGTGTGTGTGTGTGTGTGTGTGTTGCGGGGGTGGGGTATGACCGGGAGGCACAGCATGGGGGGGGGGGGACTGTGGGTAGGGATGTGAGAGCTGCTGAAGGGATGGAGTGTTTGCCCTGAGGGTGGGGGTGACCCCAGAGGAAAGCAGAGCTGATGGCCAGACAGCACGGGGCAGGGGCACAGCAGTTTCTGGGGTGGGGGCTGGGCCGGGGCGGCCCAGGGGAGGGGCTCCTCACGCAGGTGCCCTTGGCTTTGCCCACCCGGAGGCCTTGCTTCTCACCCTGTGGTGGCAGAGGGGCCAGGGTGGGCGGGGTGGGCGAGGAGGGCGGTTACCAGGCCAGGGAGAGGCAGAAGGTCACGCGGCGCAGCACGGGAGTCCGGAACAGGTCGGCCACGCTGTAGTGGTGGGCCTTGGCCAAGGAGATCTCCTTCTGCAGGTCGAGCTTGAGCTCCTGGGGCAGTGGGGGTGGGTGGGGGGGTGCATGGTGAGCCGCTGGCAGGAGGGAGAGGGGAAGGTGCAGGCCGGGTGCCTGGAGAGGAGCTTGTGAGCAGGGGACACAGAGCAGGAGGAGGGCACAGCCCCAGAGCAGAGCCCAGTGTCCTGCTCGGACTATAGGTCACCCCCCTCCGCCTCCCCCCCCCCCCCCCCGCCCCTACCTCCAGGCTGAGTTTCTCTCCCGCCTCCTTCCTGCCGTTGAAGGCCGCCACCCACTGGAGGATCCTCAGGGCCTTGGGACACTTTCCAGAGAGCACCATCCAGCGGATGGACTCTGGGACCCACCTGCAGCCGGAATAAGACCCCGGGGCTCAGCCCGAAGCGCCTTGAGAGGCTGGGCAGCTGGGGCCGAGGGGTAGGAGGCCAGGAACCTGAGCTGCCTTCCCGCACATTCCATGGAATGTACCCCTGGCCAAGCTCTGCACCGGGGCTGCCTGCAGCCACCACCACCCGCCCCCCCCCCCCCCCCCCCGCTCTCCTTGCCCCTTCCAGGGAGGCTTCCTCTGCCCCCACCGGCTGCTGGCTCCCCTGGGGTGTCCTCCTCAGCTGGGAGCCCGGGGCGCTAGGCCGGGCAGCGGGCCTGGGGAGGGGATGGCGTGCTTGCAGCCGCTCAGCTGGCGGGTCTGCATGTCCACCTCCCCGCCTTCCTCGGGCTGCATTCCCGGTCCTGGGTGAGGGCAGCTTGGAAAGGGAGCTAAGGTTGGGGTGTGGTCTGGGGAATGGGCTGGAGGACCTGGATTCTCCCCGCAATGGACCCGCTCTGCTGGGGTGTGTGTGGGGAGGTGGGGGTGCGAGTGCAGTAGGGTCCTGGGATGGGCAAGGGGGTGCCCTCACCTCCGGGCTGTGCTTTGGGGCTGGCTCGCCCTGAGCAGTCCCGAGAGTCACTGGGTGTGGGAGAAAGGAGTGATGCTTGGGAAAGTCTGGTCTGAGGTGAAGTCACCGGCGGTAGCCCTGCAGGCACCAGGCCTGGCCCCGCGCGGCCCGGGGGAGTGGCCCTGGTCCCCTGGCCTCAGCTGAGAGAGGTGGCTCCCGGGCCTGTTGCTACCTCCTCCCGCCTGTGGGTCTGTGTCTGCCCTGACAGTTTTCTCAGCCTGCTCTCCCCAACATTGTCAGCGCCCCCCCCCCCCCCCATCACCAGGCAGGGCCTGGCCCCCACCCCCTCTCCCTGAGCATCATGTCAGCGACTCTCCCCTTTAGTGTCCCTCCTGGGGCCAGCACATGCTTAGAAGAACCTTGAGGCTCAGAGGGGGCGGGACTTGTCCCAAGTGTCACAACAAAGGGGCGCAGGCTCTCGACCGCCCCCTGGTGATCCCGCCGTTATTTCAACTCTTGGCTCCTCTGCTCCCATCCCAGGCTGAGGACATTTCCTGGCTCCACCCTGAACCCTCTCCCCACCCCTCTCACCCCAAGATTGCCCACCCCTCTAGAAGCTTCTATTTCTCATTTGCAAATGGGGGTCCCATCCCAGCTCTGTATCTTTTTGTGTAACCTTAGGGGGATTGCTTCACTTCTCGGAGCCTCAGCTTCCTCATCTGTGAAATGGGAACAATAATGCCCCCTCCACACGGAGATGCTGTGAGGATCGGAGACAATACAGGTCGAAGCCCAGAACAGGGCCTCGCACATACAGTGACCTCCCTTCTGTCTCTTGTCCCCACCCACTGGGAGTCTGTCTTTCTGTGCTATTATTTCACAAAGGAAGCTTCCAGGCCTCTCAGCACCGCAGACCCCTGCAGAGGAGGTGTTCTGCCATGCACTGCTGAGGCCTCCCGGCTTTCTGTGTCCTCCGCAGCCTGGCCCCATCCTGTCCATCTCAACCGACTCTTCTCTGCTGCAGACACAGACATGCTCCCTCCTGCGCCGTGCCCGTGTGCAGGGAGGTCCTCCTCCCCCAGTGCCCTTCCCGCTGGGACAGGGACAGACGGGGCTGGCCAGCCTGGTCGGGCAGGGCTTCCCCCGTTCGGCTCAGGTGGGCCGAAGGAGGGCGTGGAGGGGAGAGGACCACATACCAGGACAGCAGGAAGAAGGCGAAGAAGGGAACGGACACGGTCAGCTGCAGCCAGCGCCACTGGGGGATAGCGTAGGCCAGGCCGGGCAGAATGAACTGGCCAGCGGTGTAGAAGTAGCCGATCCCGACCGTCATGACGGCCCGCAGCTGCGTGGACATCCACTCGACATCTGCAGGAGGAGCCCCAGGACCAGGTTAGGGTCCTTCTGGGCCCTGGGCACCTCCCTGACACCGTCTCTGACCCTAAGGATTCCCTGACCCCATTTTACAGATGCTGCAACTGAGGCTCAAGAAGGTAGGGCTCCAGCTGAGGTCTGTCTGACTCCCAAGCCCATGCTCTTGACTGCCTCTCCAGTAGCAAGTGACCTCCCTGGTTTTGCCTCAATGTCCTCATCTGTATAATGGGGAGAATGGTATCACCTACATATGTGTGTAGACTGATGAGATCAGGTGCCTGGCGGAGAGCCAGGCCCAGGGAAAGGGCTCAGTATTGGCAGCCGCTGCATAGTGTCGTTGTGTTCAGAGGGGGCTCCCGAGGGCCTCTGCCAAGGCCATAGAGGGCCCGTGGTCGAGCCAGACCCAGACCTAACCCCTGGCTCAGCGCCAGGCCGGTGCCCCCCGCCCCCTTCCCCGTGGCTCACTCAGGATCACGGTGCTCAGGGTGACCCCGGCCATGCTGAAGCCACACAGGAAGCGCAGGACCATGTAGACGGCAAAGGAGGGGCTGAAGGCTGCGCCCGAGCCGCTGGCCGCCAGCAGCAGGTAGCTGCCCGACAGGATGGGCTTCCGGCCAAACCTGCAGCTCAGAGGAGAGGGGGCCGCGTGAGGCAGCCAAGGCGGTGGCCGGGCCAGCCTGGAGCCAAGGCTGGTCTCCCGCCCCCCAGGGTGCCAGGCCGGGCCTGTCACTCCCTCCCCAGACAGGGCCTGGCTTGTAATTGCTTCCTTATGACCAGGTTTGCAAGGAGAGGTTTTAGTTAATGAGTGATCTCCACCTCCAGCTTAGCTGCCTGAGCAGGGCCAAAGGGTCAGCCCATCTCCAAGCAGCCCATCCCCCCACCTCCATCCCCCCACCTCCACCGCTGCCCTGGGTCCGCAGCCCTGGCGGTCCCCCCGCTGGGTCTGTGGAGGCTGGAAGACTCAGCTCGCTAGGGCTTTGGGTCAGAGAGAAGACTGTGGCCCAGAGAAGGACTGGGACTCGCCCCAGGCTGCACAGCCAGGACCACCCCCACCCCCCGCCTCCCCCGGCTCTTTGCCTCTTTGGGGGTCCATGGCTGGAGCAGGGGGCAGGGTCGTCACCAGGGGCTGTGCTGCCCCGTGGGAGGCCCCGGGGTCTCACCTGTCAGACAGGCCTCCCAGCACGATGCCCCCGACCAGCGTGCCCGCCATGAACACAGACTGGGCCATCTCCTTCAGTTTGTTCGAGTCGCACACCAAGTCCCACTGCACAAGGGAGAGGAGCAGCCTGCTCAGCCCCGCTCGGCCTGGGTGCTCGCTCCCTGGCGGCCCCCCACCTCCTGCCTGGCCTGAGCCAGGTCCCTGCCCCCCAGGCACCCTGTCCCCCTCCAGGCTCCCAGGTCTGCCTGTGGCTCTTCGGGCCGGGGCCTGGGGTTTTCTAAGGACAACAACCCTCTAGCATGTGTGGCCCCTCATACGACTTACAAAGGCTGCTCGCCTGTCACACCCCGTCTATCCCCTGCCCCTCTGGGCTTGCCTGCACCCCGTGGCTCCCCAAGGCCAGCCCCTTTGTGTGCGCTCACCCCCTCTCCTCCGTGGGGACATCCCTCCGTGGATGCGCCTCGCTCCATCCACATCCTCACTCTCACTCTGCCCTGACTTCTCCTCGTTGGCATTTGCCCAAATCTCTCCAGCTTACAACCTCTTTCCCCCCAAGCTCCCCCCATTCCCCCTTCCCTTGGCCAGGGACTTGCTCTCCCGCCCACCTCCTGCTTCTTCCCCCTCCTGCCTCTGCTGCTCTGACCTGTGCACTGCCTCTCCCAGCCGTGGCACCCCCTCTGCGAAGCTGTGCTCCCCCAAGCCACACACCGTCTTTCCCACCAAATCAAGGGAACCACCTGACTTGTCAGTGTAGCCCTTGGCCCTGCCGACCCCTCTCTCCACCACACTGCCTCTGTGGGCTCCTCTCCCTCCATCCCTACGTTTCCCCACGCCTCTCTCCCTTTAGCCACTTTGCCCAAGAAACGCCACCGGCTCCTATGGCTTCAGTGACGATTTCATGGCGAAGACTCCGAAGCCACCTTTCTTCTGGCCTCGAGACCAGGAGGTTCAGCTGCCACCTTGACCCTCAACCCCCCCTGATGGCCGTCTGTCTCGCGGGCATCTCAGCGTCTGTCCATCCGCTTGTCACCCCTGCCTGGAGGCCTCCGTCTCAGCGCTGGCGACCCCTTTATTTCCTCCCTCACCCTCTCCACAAACACTCAGCCCTCCGGCTTCTAACTGTTTAGTGTTTCTTGAATCTGGATTCTTCTATGTCCATGATGGCTGTCAGAGTGCAAGTCTCGCCGTCTTGCCCTTGGATTAGAGCAGTGGTTCTTGACCTTCTGGATCAGTGGTTCTCAACTTTCTGGCCCTTTAAATACAGTTCCTCATGTTGTGACCCAACCATAAAATTATTTTCGTTGCTACTTCATAACTGTAATGTTGCTGCTGTTATGAATTGTAATGTAAATATCTGATATGCAGGATGGTCTTAGGTGACCCCTGTGAAAAGGTCGTTCGGCCGCCAAAGGGGTCGCGACCCACAGATTGAGAACTGCTGGATAGAGCAAGAGCCGATATGCATGGAGGGTTTGCCATGCACCAGGCGCTTTCCAGGCCCTCACTCCTTCTGTCAGCACGACGACCTTCTGATGGTGCACTGTCACCCCAATTTGCAGATGAGAAAACTGAGGCCCAGAGCGGAACACAGCAACGTCCCCTCCTTCGGGCCCGTCTCCCAGCCTCAGATCTCAGCCCCTCCCAGCCATCCCAGCCATCCTTTCCCCAGTGATCCCGCTACAAGGCCTCTCACCAGAAAAAGAAACCATCAACAAAACAACAAGAAAGCCCACTGCATGGGAGAACATATTTGCCAATGATATCTCCGATAAGGGTTTAATCTCCAACATTTACAGGGAACTCATACAACTTAACAAAAGGAAGATCAACAACCTGATCAAAAAATGGGCAATGGACCTGAATAGATACTTTTCGAAAGAAGACATAAGGAAGGCCAAGAGACATATGAAAACATGCTCAAAGTCACTAATCATCCGAGAGATGCAAATCAAAACGACAATGCGGACCATCTCACACCTGTCAGAATGGCTATTATCAACAAATCAACAAACAACAAGTGCTGGAGAGGATGTGGAGAAAAAGGAACCCTCCTGCACTGCTGGTGGGAATGCAGACTGGTGCAGCTACTGTGGAGAACAGTATGGAGCTTCCTCAAAAAACTAAAAATGGAACTCCCATTTGACCCAGTGACCCCATTTCTAGGAATATATCCCATGAAACCAGAAACACCAATCAGAAAGGTTATATGCACCCCTATGTTCATAGCAGCACAATTCACCATAGCTAAGATTTGGAAACAGCCTAAGTGCCCATCAGCAGATGAATGGATTAGAAAACTGTGGTACATCTACACAATGGAATACTATGCTGCTGTAAAGAAGAAGGAATTCTTACCATTTGCAACAGCATGGATGGAACTGGAGAGCATTATGCTAAGTGAAATAAGCCAGTCAGAGAAAGATAAATATCACACGATCTCACTCACTTGTGGAAGATAATGAACAACATAAAGTGATGAACAAAAACAGATCCAGAGACAGAGAAGCATCGATCAGACCGTCAAACCTCAGAGGGAAGGTAGGGGAGGGTGGGGGTAAGGGGGAGAGATTAACCAAAGGACTTGTATGCATGCATATAGGCCTAACCAGTGGACACAGACACCAGGGGGTGAGGGCATGAGTGGGCGTGTGTGGGGGGCAATGGGGCGATAAGGACACACATGTAATACCTCAATCAATAAAGAAAAAACATTATTAAAAAAATAAAATGCCTCTCACAGCAGGTTCCTGTCTTGCCTCAAGTACTCACGGGCTTCCTCTTGTCCCTTTGGGTGAAGAGAAAGCTCTGTGAACACAGATTTATAAAGCCTCAAGCCCTGGCCCCTGCCGACCTGCTTGGCCTAATCTCCCGCTAATCCCCAACATGCACCCTTTGTCCATTACTTGTGTAATGAAGTGGAGAGTCTGATTCACTAGAAATGCCTTGCAAGAATGTTCCGAAAGTGAAACAGAGCCGGGGAAGCACCACCCCTTCCTCTGCTGGAAGTCAGAAAAGAGGGGGCCATGGGGACAAGCCTGCAGGTCCTCCCCAGCCTCAGAGTGGCCCCCTGGGCCAGCAAACCCACTGGGCACTCCGCTCCCGTGGGAGAGGGAGCCTGCGTGCTGTGCGCATGGGGTGGGGAGAGACCAGGGTACAGGAGGGAGCCGGGGGGTGTGGGAAAAGCACACAGGAGCGTCTAGAGAGACTTCGGTACTTTGTGGCATGCTGTGCAAAGCGGGTTTTCTCCCTTCCTGTTGGTGGCGATGGTGACGACAGAGTGACTCGGGAAGCCGTGTGTTGAAGGTGGTAGAGCTGCTGTCACGCTGGGTCCTGGAATGACCTCATGGAGCAGAGTCGCCCATTGGCCTGAAATGCTCATCCGAGAACTATTGCATGAGAAAGAGAAACACTTCTATATCTTTGAAGCTGTTGAGTGATTATTTAGCTACTAGTGGCCTGGTGCACAAAATTCGTGCACATTAAAAGGGAATTCATTAGAGGAAATATTTTAATATTGCTATTTGCCCTTTCTCTATAATAGAAGTGTTAGAGAGGAAAGAAAATTAGTAAAATGTATATGAAAATCTCCCTCCTGTCAGAGTCTTGGGCATGCCTTGGGACCCAGAATCCAGTCCCTGCCCACACTTGTGTGCCTCGAAATTGCACGAGACCCAGACCCAGCTGGCCCCACCCCCATCAAGCCCCGCAGGGCAGGGGGGGAGCGGCCTCAGGTCCCCTGGCCCGGCCTCAGGTCCCCCAGCCCCTGCATGATGGCGTGACATCTATTTGCATATTAGCTCTTTATTATATAGGATAGCCACCTAGCCTCTCCTGATATACCACACATGATGGAAATTTGCAAATGGAAATTTGATCTTCCCCCACCCCCCACACCCAACCTCCATGCTGTTTAGTGCTTTAAGAGATCAGTGTGTTTGGATTGCGTGAGGGTCAATGTCAGACACGCTTGGGTTAGTTTAAGGCTGTCGCCTGCTCCACGGCCAGAGACCAGACCTGCGGGGTCTTGGTTTCGGCCGTGGCACTGGTGGTGATGGAGGCTTTAGAGTACCTGTTGCAAGCCAGTCTCTTCCATGAAATTGGAAAGTCCTGGTTGGACTTTGAGCCACATTCAAACATGCCATAGTCCTGCTAGGCCCTGTGGAGTCCGTTCCCATTGCTACCCTCATCGCCTCTCTGATCTCACTCCTACCATCTCCCATGTTCTCTGCTCCGGGTGCACTGGTTCCTCGCTGTCCCTTAACCAGGCACCCAGAGCCTTGACTCATGGTATTCTCTGGGCCTGGAATGTTCTTCCCCCAGGGAGCCACTGGCCTGCTCACTGAGCACGTCCTGCACCGCCATGTTTAAGATGGTAACTAACCCCCCTCAGTGGACACCCCTCCACCCCACTTTATTTTCCCTATAGCACTTATACCATCAGACATATTGCATGTTTTTCCATTTTTTGTTTGTTTGTTTCTCTCCCAAGAATGTTACCTTGATGAGGCGAGGTGTTCAGCCTGTTTGGTTCCCTGTGTCACTCCTATTGCCAGAACAGCACCCAGCGCCCAGCAGTCACTCAGTAAATACTCGCGGAATGGAATGACCATCCCCCAGAGAGAACAGGGGGATGGACAGCCTTAGCGATTTAGAGGCGGGCTGCTGTCTCCACGAGAGGTCAGAGGGCCCACCGTCCGAATGCCAGGTGGAGGGCTGCCTTGCGCCACCTGAATGAGGGTGTGCCAGGACGGGGAGTGTCCGGGCTGCGAATATCAAATTCACCCCCACAGGTTAGCAAGACGGACCGGAATCGTTTCGCAACCAGACTGGAAAATGTCTCCGGGAAATGGTCTACTGGGAATGGTGAATGAGGCCTGGAAGCTCATCGCCCTGTTCTCTCTGGGGGATGGTCATTCCATTCCGCGAGTATTTACTGAGTGACTGCTGGGCGCTGGGTGCTGTTCTGGCAATAGGAGTGACACAGGGAACCAAACAGACTGAACACCTCGCCTCATCAAGGTAACATTCTTGGGAGAGAAACAAACAAACAAAACATGGAAAAACATGCAATATGTACTTCGTGGTTAAACATTAAAAGGGTCTTG